GGAAATCCTGATGGCTCTGCCATCGTATTATATACCCTGAATCCCCTTTCTTCACTGCCCGTCTGCTACCACAGGTCCAAACTATCGTCAGCTCTCATCTGGACAGCCACAATGGCCTCCCTGCAGCTCTCCCTGCGCCCAGCTGTGGGCTAGCAGCCGGAAGCCAAAGTGATCCTGAGACGCTGCCCATCTCCCTCTGTAGGTCAATGTCCTTACTCAGACACAGCAGCCCCATGCAGTCTGCCTCGTCCCCCTTCCCCACGCTCTTAGACCAGCTCCCACCACTCTTGCTCAAGTCCACCCGCTCCAGCCACTCTGGCCTCAGAGTTGTTCCTGAGTGGAAGAGGTGAACTCTAGCTTTGTGGCCTTGCTCTGTGCTTTTCTCTTTAGACAACACCCTCGACTTGCCCCTCCACTCAGAAGCCACCTTTTCTGTGAGGCCTTGCCTGGCTACCCTATTAAAAATTTAAGGCTCCCTCACCCCAACATTTTGTGGTTCCTTTCCCTGATGCATCCCTCCTGCTTAGCACTCATCATTGCCTCATGTGGTTTACTTGATTGTCTTCCTGATCTTCTCACTCCTCCACCTCAAAATATAAGATCCACAGAGGCAGGGACATTGTTTTGTCCACTGCTGTATCCTTAGCTCCTAGAACAGTGACCAGCAGAGGGCAGATACTCAAAACATATTTGTTAAATTACTATGGCATATAAAACAAACATGACTATATTTGTTAAATAACCGCAAAACTGTTTTTGATAAGAAAACATTAAGAAGAACCCATATGTCAGTAGGGAATTGGTTAAATATAATTGTATCTTATACAATGTAATACTGGATAGCCATTCAAAAGAAAGGTAGACCTAGTTATTTAACATGAAGTCCAATGAAAACAAGCAAGTTGCACAGCAATATGTAGTTATATATTATTTTTTTATCAATCAATCGATACAATTGTTCCCCAACTCAGCCTTCTTGATCTCCTAACAGTTGGACCCTCTCAGATCTCCCAGGAGCACCTGAAGCTTCCTCACTTCCTCACTGTCTCTCCACTCGGGAAGTACGCGAGCACCTGCTCCTCCCGCAGGGTGTCTCCCGGGCTCCGTCCTGCCCGGCCAGCCTGGGTGCAGCACCCCACAGGCAGGGGTCTTCCCCGGGAGTCTCTCGCATGTCGGTGATGTCTTCGACCTCACCCAGTGTCAGCCTCCTTCCTGTCACACTATCATTTTTTTTGGTTGTCAAATCACAATTCAAATAAAATTTTTCAAAGGAAACTTCTTGTTTACCACAGGTAAAACTTCAAATCAACACCAACCCCCTACAAAATCTACATATCACAGCATCTTAAACCTTTTTGTCCAAGAATGTTAGACAATAATTCTAATGCCTTGAAAATTTTAATGTCTTATATGAAGTCAATAAAAACCACTTGCATTTTTGTATACTTTAAACACAGCTCTCAGTTCTGAAGTTGTAAATATAACACTATTATTATACATTTACTGTTAAAAGCTCCCAGAATAGTAGTTAAATGTTGCACTGTTGTGACATTTGATGGCCACTAGAGGGCAGGGCTTAACAGCAAATGCTTCCGATGTTTAAAAAGCCTGGAGACTGAAGAATTAATTACTGGGACCCCATAACAAGATCTGCACCCCTATGTTCATTGCAGCACTATTTACAATAGCCACAATTTGGAAGCAGCCCAAGTTCCCATCAGTAGACGACTGAATAAAGAAGCCGTGGCACATTTACACAATGGAATACTGCTCAGCTGTAAAAAAGAAAAAGGGGTAATTTTACCCTTTGAGACAGCATGGATGGACCTGGAGAATATTATACTAAGTGAAACAGGCCAGTCAGAGAACGACAAATACCATATGATTTCTCTTACACGTGTAATGCAATGAACAAAATAAACAAACAAAACAGAAACAGAATTAATTATAGATACGTAGAGCAGACTGACAGCTGTCAGAGGGGAGGGGGTTGAGGACTAGGTGAAAAAGGTGAAGAGGTTAAACAAAGAATAAACATAAAACAGACACGAAGACAACAGGGTGGTGATTACCAGGGGGGAGGGGGTGGGGAGGTGGAAGAGAGCAAGGGCGGGACGGACGGCGGTGGAAAGAGACCTGACTGCGGGTGGTGAGCGCATGATGTGGTGCGCAGGTGTGGGTTGCAGAGTGGTGCACTTGAAACCCGTGGGGTTTTATTAACCACTGTCAGCCCAATACATTCAATTTAAAAGAAGATCTCCTGAGGGATTGAAGGGTCTGAGCCGTAGAGGTTGCTGTAAGTACACTTTTTAAAGTGCACATCTCTGCCTAAACATGTGAATATTTAAGGTGCCAACAGTGACCTCAGAGTTTTTGTTTGATACCAGATTGGTAAGAGAAGGTAGACTACAGTTAGGTAACGGGCATGTTTGCTGTCATGAAATAAAATCACTGAAGAATTTTGGGGAAACTTTTAGGTATATAAGTGTTACTTGCTTTGGGAAACCTTAAGATCTTTGGAAGCAGCTCATGTCCTCTTCTCTCAGTTCAAATGCCCTTTGCATCTGGCTGCGTGGTCACCAGTCAGCCCTCAGTTAGTAAACACGGGGTGGGGCAGGAGCAGACTTACAGTTGGAAGTAGAGGAAACACAGTTCACTCTTGTATTATCATTTATGAATTACGGTATCATTTTCCACACAGACAGTGTCAACCTACTTTTGCCCCACTCTGTATGCATGGAGAGGACAAGAGAAGGCCGCTGCACGCAGCACTCACATTCTAATGAGAAGTTAGGGCCTCAGTAAGTGAACAAACAAACTGGGACAAGGGCTGCGTGGATAACCCACAGGGAAACGAGACGAGGCAGGCTGCTTCGCGCAGGGCTCAGGAAGATCTTCCTGCGGCTGTGAAATCTGAGTCAGGACGGGCCAGCCGCACAGAGAAGCGGGGCGACAGCTCCTAACTAGTATTTACCAAGCACCGGCTACACGGCAGGTGCTGCGCTAACGACGCCGTGTGTGTGCACACGCCCGATTGCTGCCTTCTCCCGTCTACCGTGTAGGAAACCGAGGTCCAGGGAATTCCAGACACTTGCTCAGAGTCACACAACCGAGAAATGGTTAAGACGGGACTTTGCATCTTACTAGTTTCCTGGGGATGCCATAATAAATTACCACAAGCTTGGTGGTTTTAAAATAGAAACTTATTCTCTCATAGTTCTAAAATTAGGAGTCCCAAACCATGGTGTCGGCAGGGCTCTGCCCGAGGGCTCTGAGGGGGATCCTCCTTGGCTCCCCAGCTTGTGGGGGGCCACCCTTGGGGTTCGCTGGCCTGTGCACGCACCAACCCCAGTCTCCGCCTCTGTGGTCACTTGGCACTGCCCTGTGTATCAGTGCCAACGTCTCAATTCCTCTCTTCTCACAAGGACACCAGTCACTGGATTAGGGCCCACCCTAATCCAGTATGACCTCATCTTAACTTAATCATATCTGTGAAGACCTAACTTCCTTACAAGGCCACATGCAAAAGTACTGGGAGATCAGGACGACCTCACGTATCCTTTTTTGGGAGACATAATTCAAGCCCCAACAGCATCTTAGCACCCACTTCAAACCACTCAGCTGTTCTACCTCAAAAGAACCTTCGAAGGCCAAGACCAGGGTGGCGGGAAAAGCCTACACGGAGGAGCATAGAGACTAAGGGGGAGGGTGGGACATGAGGTCAGAGGTCGATAGACTCTGAAGTCCAATTATAGAGCTGAGTCTAGTCAGAAGCCATAGCTTCAGTTCTTGCTGGCATGTTAGTTTTCTAGTCTCTTCACCACCTTGCATACTGTTTGGGACCTCAAGAGAGTCCTCCTCTTCCTACAGCCAAGGACAAAGGCTGCAGCACAGAATACGAATGTGAATCTGGCCTCGTTCCATTCACAGGCTAGAAGCAGGCTCCTTCGAGCACCTCCAGAGGGCAGCTCAGGGTTTGACCTTGATTCAAACTGTCCATTTCCAGAGGCCCTGGGAAAATTCCCATCTGACTCGGGACACAGAGAACACTCTCTCAGGCTGCACAGACAGAGCGGTATATGACCCAAGGAGTCAGCCAGGCAGGCCCTAGGCAAGAACAGTCAGGATTCAGGCGCCTGTTCAACCAGCGGAGCCCAAGATGCCGACTGTGGTGGGCCCAGCGGAGGAGGCGGCTCCGCGCAGACAGGCCCACTGGGCGAGATGCCGAGACGCGTCCAAACAGAGCGGTGCCGCACAGCATCGTCTCTCATCGCGCCAGGTCACGGAGCTCGCACGAGGACTCACCGCTGCATCATGGGGCAGGGTGAGAGTGCTGTCGCTGACACAAGGCTGCGTCACGGAAGTGGGGCGTGAAAACATGGAATCCCTATTCCATGCCCACGACACACTACTGGGAGGCAAAACAGGGACAGTGCATGTGCGTCCAGCCTAGGGCAGGGTCAGCAAACCCTCCCTGCAAAGGGCCAGAGAGTGACTATTTCAGGCTTTGCCATCCGTTCTGCTGTAACCACTCAAGTCTACCATTGTAGAGGCCACATGCAATTGAATGGATGAGGCTGTGTTCCGTCAAACTTTATACTCCCACTGAAATTTGAATTTTATAGTTTTCACAACCTTCTTTTGATTTTTTAAAAAGCATTTAAAAAATATAAGTCAGTTTTTAGCTTGAGAGCCATACAGCAGCAGGCGGCAGGCCAGCTTTGGTTTTGGGCCGTAGTTTGCTGAATCCCCCTCCCCCACCCCCAGTCTAATGATAAACCCAAATGCTCGTGAACGAACTCAGTGACATTGTGGTGATACGGCCTCCAACTGAAAGCTGCCCTCCCCTGGAACAGTTCACTGGCTTCTGGCCAGAAGCCAGGCACTCATGTGAACTCTGGAATTGACCCTGGCTTCCTCTCCCTCACCTCCTGCGTTTAGGTCCCAACAGGAACTGTCAGCTCACCTAATAAATTGGCTCTTAATTCTGTCTCTAAAAGGCCTCCAGCACCAGCCCTGGCTCTCTGTTCCTGCTGCCACTGCCACTCCCTTCGGTTAAGCTCTCCATGCACCTTCCTGCTGCCCACCTGACTTCACTGGGAACTACTACCACGTGGCGTGTACTCCGGGCTCCACTGGAAGAACCAGCGCAGTAAAGGATCCACAAGCTCAGCACTTTCTCTGTCTGATCAGCAGTCTGACGTGGCCCATCTGAAAATCAGAAATTTGGCAACACCTAAGAACTAAAATATAAGGCTTTAGCTTGCTTTTAAAAAGTCAGTCTCACTGAGGTATAATTTGCAAATAGCAGGAGTTACCCTTTGAAGCACAGTCCTGTAAGCTTTTAAAACCACTACAACCAAGTTACTTCTATTACACCCCAAAGTTCCCCCTCCCCTTTGCAGCCACCTCTCCCGTTACCTGTTTTTACCCACTTGTCTGTTTTCTGTTGCTGTGAGTGTTATATGCATCCAATAGTCCATCCCTTTTTGTGGCTGCATGGCATGCCTGGGTGTGCTGCTCTCTACCCACTCGCCAGCTGAGGGGCACTGGAGTTGTTTCCAGTTTTTGTCAGTTATAAACAATGTGACTATAAACACTCACGTACAGATTTTTAAATGGGCGCATGTTTTCATGACAAGGTTTTATTTCTTGTAAGTGGCCACCCTGTCACAGGCCCGTAAGACCGGATCCCACCGAATGAGGGACTCGCTCAGTGAACATCCTCCGTCCCTGTTCTTGTCTTCCTGCCCTGCCTCAGCAGCTCTTAATAACCGTGGTGACACAAAACTGCCCAAGAGCATTTGCAGGGAATGTTTCTGGGGTGGAGGGGAGAAGCTGAAGCACAGTTCCCCCCCCCCCCCCGCCCCACAGGCGAGCCCCCGAGCGAGCCGGGCCGTTGCACATTCGCCGCCGGCAGGGCTGGATCGGGTCCCACGGGGACGGTGCTGGCTCTGTGGGTGTGCACACGCAGGCAAAAACCTGCAGAGCCAGCCAATCGGGCCTTTATTTGGTTCATATAACTTGTTAAAATCTCACGGAATGTACAGCCTGCCATTGTTTTCGTAAGTCCCTTTCGTGGCTTTCTTAGCTGGCTAATTCAGAGCAGACCGGCCTGCTGGAAGAAAAGACTTTCCTCAAAGACAGCTATTTAACCATGACCGTGGCTGCGGCCATCTTGAGCACAAAGGGGGAGCTGAAGTCATGCTGCAACCCCCCCCCCCCCAGGTCTCCCACAACCAGGGCACTTATTCTTGGCGCTGGAATTCGCATAATTACTCCTCTTTTAATCTGCTGGTGACCTAATGCAGCTCCAGCCAACGGCAGGAAAGGCCTTGCTGAGATCTGAGCCTTAGGCAGTCTGTCATGTCTATAAGAGCCTCTTGGAAAGAATATTTGCGGAGTGTTAACCCCATAAAGCACTCACTTCTGAGCGGCTCTAGGCTCCTGAGCTGCTCATGCCCCCTCTGCAGGATGGGGACATCAAAGGGTGCTGGGCCCCCCTCGGGATCGTGATTCTAGTCCTGTCCCTTCTCCGGACCTGAAAAGGAGCTCAGAAACTGCAGATCATTTTATAAAGGCACACAAGTGGTTCTCACAAGAATCCACCAGGGCGGACTACAATAGGAGGGATATTTGTTCCCCAGGAAGCCAGCCAGGAACAAAAGCCTCGTTCTGTCTCCCACCTCCCGCCTGCAGCCCCCGGAGAGCGGCCTGGTCCAGAGCCCCGGTGGACATGGGCTGGCCTGCGTTTGGGCTGACGTGAAAGAACTGCCAATCCAGTTTCCCCTTCTGCTTCAGCTACATTTTCCCATTTATCTTTCTTAAGGACAACTTACTTCACAATGAAAAATCTATAATAAACATTTCTTCTAAAAGAAAAATCATCCAGCTCTGCCCTGGTTAATCACCTCCTCCCCCAAAATATATACTTTTAAACCACACCCAGAAAAGAGACTCTTTATTAAAACAACTAAGTCTTGTGTATGAAGAAGCTAGAAGGGAATTAGAACGTTCGGGCTAAAAGGAAGATAGGTATAAAGGGGAAAGAGACAGGAAATAACAAATTTATAAAATTTAGTGTGGGGCGCAGTGGGAGGGAAATTCCTGAAGCTTAAAGGAGCAGCGCAGGAAGGTGACAGGAGGGAAAGAGGAAACAGCTTCCAGAGGCTCGAGAAGGGCCACACAGCGAAAGCAGGGCGACCGCAACGGCCATTGTGGGGGGTGGGGGCCATTGCCAGCCTTCTGAGGTAATGTGATGGGCGGGCAATTACCTGTCGGGTCCTTGGTCTTAATGTCTGAGACTCAACATGAAATGCCATTCTTGTTCCCCTCAATATGGCAATTTTATGACCGGGAGTGACAGAGTAATAAAAATCCCCTTCCCATTTGCCCAAAACCTTCCTGTCCAGCCTATCACAGGCAGAGAGGAACCTAAAGATGTTAAACTAGTAGGGACATTGGCCCACCCCTGGCTTCTGCTTGTGGAAAAGATGGAACCTACAGAGGGGAGGTGGTCAGTCTGAGGTCAGGCTGCTCCCCTACTGGGGATTCTCAGCAGGGGCGGGGGAGGGGGGGGGTTAACCTGGAGTCTCCTACTGGAGACTATTGCCATTTATTCACATTTTAGTACAATCATTTAATCAAAGTTTCATGGGGCTAAAAACGTGCCAAAAACCAAATGGGGGGCACTGAGCAGGGAAAGCAGCCCAGGAGGTAAACCCCACCACACACTTTTGCCTAGAGCTATTTCCTCCATTTAAAAAAAAAAAAAAAAGAGGCTGGTTTTATCTAGGGTAAGGTATGCTAGGTACGCAGAGGAAAATTCCAGGGCTGCACACCGGTAACTCGAGTCAGGAACAACGAAGGAGCAGGAAGGCTGAGCCGCTGCGGCCTTTCTGCGCTCCAGCCGGGAAGGAAGGAGCGGTTTCTTTCAGACGCAGCCAGAGAATCTGTTACATTAGGTTACAGAGAGGGACCTCCCGATTGTACAAAACAGTGACAATCAGACGTTCAAGATGATCCTGTTTTTAGTTGCTGTGAGGGGAAAAATGTGGGGAGAGGAGAGGGCTAGGAAAACAAGAAAAAAGTAGACAAGGGGGAAAAGGAAAACAAAACTCCCCTGGCCAGTGGCAGGAATTAAAGAGAAACAGTGAAGGAGATCCCCACATCACAGACTACGTGGACCTGCCCTATTTTCTTATCACAGCCAATCACGGAATTTCTCTGGGAGGGTCTAGGTACTCTTGAGGCCCCAGCATGGGGGAGCCCGTGCCCACCCCCACCCCTGCCTGCTGCCTGCCTGCCGAGGTGAAAGAACCAGCAAACAGCCGCAGGGCTGCCCAGCCGGCACAGTCCCCTCCATTCCACGCACAGAGGAGCTACCAGTAGCCTAGCAACCGAGGACGGGTCCTTTCACGCTACATTATGTGCTGTAACACAAAGTGCGCGGAGTGCCAGGAGAACACCGAGTACAGACTGGACAGGACAGAATCTTGGATTCATTTTCTGCCTTGCGCTCTCCTGCCATGACCTGCAGCCCCTTACCCGATTGGTTATGCTTCAGTGTCAAAGCCTCCTCTCCCCTAGACCCAAGCGGGTGAGGTGGTCCCCGAACGCTCTCAAAGAGATTTCTCTCTTTGTCTGGGAACTGACAAAGCCAGGTGACGATGGGTAGCAAGTCTCCAGGGGAAAGAAGAGAGGCACCTGAAGACACATGGAGAGAAACCTGGGGCCAGAGCTCTCAACAGGATGAGAATGGTGGGAGGTTGGCCAGCCACACCCGGGCGCTTCCACTGTAGGGAAGGGACTCAGAGACCACCCATCGTTCTGAGGTTGCCATGAGTCCCTAAAAATTTGGTCTCTTGAATTTTGTTTATTAGGCTGATGAATCTGACTCTGCCAGGGGGTCCTACATGATGTAACATATTTTACATAGAATCTCTACTTCTTTCCAGCCCAAGAGGCACTGAGTGCACAAAGGGATTGTAGGGAGGAAACAGATCAAAGACAGGAAGGCCAAACTGAACCCCACTTCATCCACGACTCCCTCGCCTCGCTCAACCACCGTCAGCCCCTGCAGTCTCCAGGCTCCAGCGAGCACGGATTTGCAAGGCTGCCGCAGCACGGACTCCCGTTGGCCAGGTTGGAGAGGGCAACTGAGTCTGAGAAATGATTGGCCTGTGTGCTGGCCCAGGAAGGTGGACAGAGAGAGCCACTCAGACCTTGAGGTCAAAGGCCTCACATAACCCCAACAAATCCCCAAGCCATCCCTCAAAACCAAGGGCAAACTCAAAAGGAAAGAAACCTCTGATGGATCCAGGAGGGATGGAGAGACTTCATTTATCCAGTCTGATTCAGACCAAGGAGTGGAGGTCAACCTTCAGAACACCTCAGCAAACCCTTTCCAGGGGGCACCTGGGACCACCAAGAGCCATTCCGTCACATCTCACTGCTGGGGGGACGGAGAGCCCCGTGAGACAGAGGCCGTGGGCACGCCCCAGAGCTCCGTGGTCAACATGCCTCGAGTCACACAGACCGACAGTCAGGAGTGAGAGGCAAGAGCTTAGATAACCTTGAAGCAGGTCGCTCCGGAAGTCCATGTTTAGCTTTGGAATTCATCACTGGATCATCTTAAAAGGTTCGGACTTTTGTAAAAGAAAAAGCTGAGTTATTGAAATCAGGGGGGCTGGTGCTTGCTGAGCACAGCGAGGGCGTCTGCCGTGGGAGACAGCCAATTTCTGCAGCACGGCAGGGGGATCTCACAGGGCTGCTGTGACTTGCACACCGCGTAACCCCAGAGCACATTTCCCATGCTGTGGTCCAGTCAGACCTCGGTCCATGGGAAGAGTGTTCCCTAATGCCTTGCGGTGCTCAACCTGCCCAATAGCACACTCGAGGCTTCCAGGAGGACGCAGACGCAGCGTTTACAAAGCTCTGCCCCGGTTCTAACATGGTGGTCCCACTGGTTTAGGGTTACGCACGGGCTATGCAGAGACTGTAGCTCAGGCACAGCCTGGGCACGAGAGAGAGGAAAAATATTCCCTCGCTCCATCCTCATGAACTTTACGGTGGCTGCCTGGAGCGACCAAGTGGTCCTAGTAGAGTGCCCTCCTGCACCTTCCGTCCTCTGGTCTGACGGGAAGACATGCCACACCCTGGGGCGGGCACAGGCACCTGAACAGCAACCGGCCCAGACACTCTGAGAATGGGAGGCTGCCCTTGGAACAACGATGCCGCCGGTGGCTCCTCAGGGGCAAGCGCCTGAAGCCCTGACTCATGCTGCGGTTCTGAAAAATCACTGCTATTCTTTGTGCGCCCTGTGCTAGGCTTCCAAACCTCCCTTAAATGTTCCTATTGGCTTAACGTGGATGAAACGGGTTTCCGTGACTTATAACCAAGCAATTCCTGACAGCTGCTAATTTCTTTTACAAAATTGTCCATCTTCTTCTTATTATAATTTTAAAGATAACTTTAATTTTATAAGAAAAAATATGTGATATTGTAAATGAAGAAACTAGGTCTGAGAAATCAGAATTCTCTTTACAGTTTTCAAACATAAAACAAAGCAAACACACATGCCCAAAACACGATGTGGGGTGCAGAGGGAAGACGTGAGAAGCATCCCCTCTTTTTGCTCAGGAGGAGAACAGGACCGAAGCACTGGCCAGGCGGATGCACTGAGTGCCAGCCCCACTGCACAGAGAGGCGTCACCACGGCCCAAGGTCTACAGCAGCCCCTCAGCAAGGGGGTGGCTGTTGAGGAGAAGAGAACTCAGAAACCCTCAGGTGCCTTCAGTCCCACACTGAAGATAAGCAGAGGTCCACGGTTCCTCCCCTACCATTCAAAAATCCAAAAACCTCTGAAAATTGGAATTTTTGAAATAACTCATTTGGCTGCCAAAGAAACCTGACCACGTTTGGTGGCAAAACGTGACC